TCTCTTATTTTTAAATTCTGCAGCTTACATTATTAATTATGAACTTCTGGCGAACTAGTAAGAAAAGATGAAAATAAGAAAAAAATATTGGACTATCCTGTATAAACTTTTCTAGCTTTCACATAAAACCTGTTCTACCTAAGAATGAAAGAATGGTATGATGGTTTTTCTGCATTTTTCGACCATTTCGCCTTCCGCCATTCTGTTCTTCATTTTTAACGAGGTTATCAACACAGTTGCCAAACCTCTCTTTAAAATATCTCAGCAATAGTATGGCCATTGTATGGACGGTATCGAGCACGACAAAAACAAAATAAGGTGCAGCTTATACGTTTGAAATAACTCTAATGTCATGAAAGTTTATGGAAACTGACAACATCGCTGTCGTCTTATTTGCGACGGTGGCTCCAAGTAGTATGGCTGGGAACTACCACTTGTTACCAGTGCCGTGTATTTAAACGGTTTATCTTTTAATATTAATTTATCTATGGACTCAAGTTACTGGTTAGTGGTACTCCGTATTGTTGATGTATTTTATTTTCGTTTTGTGTAACCTTGGTTTAAAAAAAAGATTTTATTTTTATAATTGATTTTGACATTATAATTTTTGTGAATTGTCTATATATTTTTATATCAAATAAATAAGGTATCATCAAGCCTTTCCCTCATTCGACATTCTCTCTCCACCAGGTAGGTGTACAAGCGCATCACAGAAAAGCGCATCAAGCCCCATGATATGGAGATGCTTCCGTACTTGGCAATGACCAGTCAGAATACCTGTGATCTGGCGCAGATTCTGTCTACAGTTAAATATTTGTTTGCTGTAGTGTTATTGGGGGATAACTTAGAAGCTCCCATCTTTCCTTAAATTTCACAAGAGATAATGTCACAGTTGTCAGTCCAATGGAAGAGCCAGCTTTCCTGGATAGTTAATCAGCAAGACGGTTATCTTTCGATGTAGCTTTAGCTTTGATCCATCTTAAGGTGACCACTTTGTTGATGGATACTTTGTCCAAAGCTCCAGTTGCGAGCTCGACACTAAATAGTAAATTTAAGTAATCGTAATTTTTACTATGTAAAATTGTTGTAAGCTGAAGAAACTTAGTGTAAATAAGGTTGTTAACTGGAAAACACATTTAGTTTCATCATAACCAAACAAGAGTGGCAATTTATCTACAAACATCAACCACGGGCGTCGTTACACAATTCTATAGGGGGGGGGGGGGGCAAAATTTTGAAAAAATTTAGTATGTTTATTCATTGAAAAACAAAGAGAATTAAACATAAAAGAGAATTTTCTTATGATGGATTTAATTATTCTGTGACGTCATGGATTACTTCCGGTTTTCCAGAAATAACAGAAAATTGCAATTTATTTTTTATTTTTAAATGAAAACCCTTTTTCTTATTGAAAATTTGAATTTCTGGTACATTTTTGTATAAGAAGCGTGTATTGAAAATTTTGTCAGTAAAATTTGAGCTTTTTTACTGCTACTATTTGGTATTTTAAGGAGTTGCCGCGAGTGGTAGGATGCGTTGTTCATAACGATTACTGACTGGTGGAATGTAAGGTAAAAGCTGTTCATTAAACCGTTTTCCAAATAATTCTGCTGTCATATCTTCATGATAATCAGCAGCACAGTTTTTAATTTGTTTAGCAGATAATAATAAAGCATTAGGCACGAAACCGTCTTTGCTTCCAGCGTGTACTATTATAATGCGTTTCCCTTTAGAACATGGCCCATTCAAACAGCAATTTTTACTACTTTTTTTTTTTTTGGAGTGAGGGTAGCCATATGTGAGTAGTAGGGATTAAGTGTAAGGGGTTAAAGAAAAGATCCTTTATTTCTCACAAGTCAATTTAATTGGCGACCGGTTTCGAAGTTGTCACTTCATCATCAGGCACACCTAAATGGAATGTCAAGGAGTCAGTTGTAATAAAAAACAATTATAAAAGCATGAACGGACTTTAACATATACAAAATAACAGAAAAAACACAAAAGAAAGTTAAACAATAACCTTGACTCACCTTGACTATTTCCATAAAGGAAGCGCTACATAAAGTTTAACAAAATGAGTTAAAAAAGTCATATGTAATACAATAGTATTTTTTAAAAAATATTTTAGATTAGGTTAAACCGCGAGATGTCTGTTTGAATAAATTAATTAAAACACATGTAAGACAATTATTAACTAAACAACACAAAATAGTTTTTACAAGCACAAACAGTTTAAAATTTTTAAGGATATAACGTCAATTAATGAAAGTAAAAAGTAAAAAAGTAAAAAGTAAAATTATCAGACTCTCAAGACATATATCTAGATTTTTAACGAATCAATATAGTAAACTGTAAATTTTATCCGCTAAATTTAAAATTTTAACATTATTATTACATTATTTTTCGTTTCTTAATTTGGCATGAGTACCGTGCGTATATATTAAATATTGATTCCCCACATAACTGTGTTCTGCAATTGATAATGGAAGGACTATACTCAGCGTTCGATATCGCAAGATATTGACAAGATATGCGCCCCCTAAGTAATATTTTTAAATTTATGTGGCATATAATCCAAAACACATTCACCTTAAAGTTTTATTACAAGTATAAACAAAGTAATTTTAATGTTTTTTTAAGAAAATACACAATTTGCTTATTTTAACAACTTATTTTCTCCTAAAGGTATATTTTTCTCCACGCACAGTAGTAAATTGTGGGGTGTTTTCGCCTTCTTTTTAACTCCACTTTGCACTTTTCTTAACCTTTCTTGTTGAAACTGATGTTGGTTGAACCGATATCTTTTTCCTTTTCGGCATATTTTTTTTTGTCGAATTGATCCTTGTGTCTGTACGTGGTTTGAAAGCATTGTGTAACGCTGACATTAACGTTGACTCTGACTTAACGTATATATTATATGAATTTATACAAACATCCACCGCCGGAATAAAATTATCAGGGTCATCTTCGATAGATAAGACCATGACAAATGCCAAAAATTAATTATTGCAATTTCGAACGTTGGATACATCTAGCATAATGCGTTCTCGCGCTCTGGATACGTCGATGCATTCGGCGGTACTCGGAAAAGACGAGCCTGCGATACTGCACGCTTGATATACGAATATGCGTACGGGAAGCCGAGTACTCGGATTGCCGTTGTCAGGGCTGCTTCTGAGTAGGGTTGCCAACTCTCCCGGAATTCCGGATTCTCTCGGAAAATGACAATTCATATCAAAATCTCCCGGCTCCAGGACACATACTTATAATAGGTATACGGAGCAAGAGAGACGTCCGACCTGTTTAACATAGGGGCGGCCATTTTTATACAAGATTACTAGTACATAGGTGACCAGAAATACAGCAATATGAAAACTTGGTTGCAGATGTCTAGGTCTTTTATACATCATTTTGTACAGATTTTTTAAAAGAAATAATACAATATTATATCTGAATTAAATTTTTATTCTACAACAAAAAAATATTTTAATGTTTAAAAATATATGTTAGGACCAATTCCACCGTTGTGTTAAACGGATATTAAAATGACATTGTTAATGTAAAAATGTAATTTTAAACTTCGTTTAACACAACGGTGGAATCGGTTCTTAGACTGATAAATAATAGGCCGACAAATAATAGATTAAATACCTAAATACTAATTTTAAATGACAAAAGTACAGTAGAGGAAGTTAAAAATATTAAAATTTCCAGGATACTTTAAAATTAAATTGATGGTTGCATATTTGTTTTATTTTAAACAATTTACTTTCTTCTTGTATAATTTCTAAAAGCTACAAATTTTTAGTGAACGAGTCGTCCTTATTGATTCTGCAGTGAATTGTACTAACAACTTAAAATAAATTTTGTCCAATCTCTATATGGCAGATAACCACAATAAGGAACGATCTGCTTGTTTTGGAACCCTAAAATAATATAAAGACACTTCTTTCATATCCTTTATTTTTGCTAAATCTTATTACTTACTTGTGGAATGTAACATTTGAATATATTGGCAACAGTCTTCTTATGTTCTTGCAAGATCTTACAAGACATCTTGAATAAAGCCCAGTATAGAGAACTTATACTGGGATTAAAGTCTATTCACAAATGTTAAAATAAATAAAACGTTTATACACTTAGAAAATAATATCCACAATCAAAATATTCTAAAATAACACAAAAAAATTTAACCAAATTCACAAACACATTAAAATTTGACACTTTTGACAGATGGAAAGATAAATTGGTTGCATAAGTTTCAGTTTGTTTATATAAAAATGGCGGTCATTTCTATCTTCTTTTATTAAACACTCAGTAAAGATGCGCAGAGGGTTTTACGCCGTATACCTATTTAAGTATGTGCTCCAGGACCGTAGCTAAATCCTCCCATATCTTTTATCTATGAATATCTGAGTTTCTCTCAATATTTCTATATAAATGAGAATAGGATACGATAACCTCTGCATGGAGGAAGGATTTCTGTTTATTGCGAGAAGAACGTGAAATTATTGTAAGGAAAACAAGATAAGACATGTGTTGAGTTAATTTCTTTAAAAAAATGTGTGGATGAATCAGGCAAATATATAAAAATGCTTAATCTATTCACTCTATCGATTCATATCTAAAACGATGTTTTCCAACGTGTTTTTAACGTAGTTAATAAACTGTGGTAAAAAACTCGCCTTAATACTACTCATGTCAAATCTGAAATATAGGTATGTACAAATTTTAAATACATATGTAAAACATATATAAACAGTTCTATAATTTGATCGTTTCTAACAGAAAGGTATTGCAAGCTGCCCGCGGTGTACAAAATACAAATAAAATAAAAATATTTTTTCTCCCGGATTTCTGATCAACAGAGTTGGCAACCCTACTTCTGAGCCGAAGCTATGATGTGGCTAACAGCAAAGAAGAGGAAAAGGCACAGAAAAATTAAAAAGAGAAGAGGAGATGTCATCGTCAACACGTCAATCGCCACGTCAAAACATCAATGTCAGAAACTTGTGTTTAGGGTTATGTTAGTGTAAACACCGTTTTTTGTTGCAGGAAAAACAAATAGATTTTTTATATATTTAACGAATAATGACTTCTTTAAAGCACATTTGTAAACAAGCATTTATTAAACCAAATAATAAACATTTTTTTTTAAAAAGAAATATTGCTTCAACAACATTAAATGAAAACTATTCTAATAACTATGACATAATTATTGCTGGAGGAGGAATTGTTGGATGTTCTCTTGCTTGTACCTTAGGTAATGTATTTATCCCTTTGGAAAATATCTAGTTTGAGCTCTTTTCGATTAAGGAAAAACTGAGCATATCAACTTGTATGTATCGATATTGTAAACAAAAATGACAAATAATTTATTTAAATAAAAATATTAGTGATGGGATAATTCAAATGAAAAATAATTGGTCATTCGATTATTAAAATGTTTCGAGATATCTCGAGAACTTGAACTAGATCGTTCGAATGATGATATCATTCAAATACACTACTGAGTAAAATGCACTCCTGAGTGCCAAGTGAAACTGAATTTCGAATGATCAGATCATTGAAATAGATTACCGAAAGAAAAAGAATAATTTCGAATGATCAGATTATTCACTACCGAGCTCTGAGTGAAACTGAATTTTCGAATGACAATACATACTACATACACTAACAAGTGCCGAGTAAAACGGAATGAGAAATAATAAAAGTAAAATACTTCGAATGAAGTTTAAAGTGATTTAAGTGTTTCAGACACAACTATTGAAAATGTTGGATGGAAACATTTTAAATATTGATTTATGTTGGTAGGTATTACCAGACTTTTTTACAAGTGTTACACTGTTTTCTATTTATATACCAAACTTATTCAACATAATCTACCTATTAATTTGTCACACCTTCTCGCCCTCAAGAATTTCGATGTATACAAAATTATTTATAATCATGTAAACTCCTTAAATTTAAAGCTCTGACGAAAATAATTAAAATATGTACAAAAATTAAAAATAATATAACAAAACTAAATAAAAAAAAAAAATTAAAACAAAAAAAAAAACAAATTCAAAAAAAAAGAAAAACAAAAAAAAACAGAAACAAAAACAAGTAAAAAACAAAAACAGACGAAAAAATCAAAAACAAGCAAAAACATGAGCTAGAAAAAACCTATTATAGGATTTACTTCTTAATAATGTATTTAGAGAAATTTGTATTTTTCAAATAAAATGTGAACTGTGAAATATTGTAAGGATAGAACTTAAAATTGAATTAACACAAAATAAACTTTATTAAAATTAATTAAAGATTGACTGGCCAGTTGGTTTTGAAACCAGTGCCAAACAGAAATACACACACACACATTTTATTAAAATATTCTTAGGGGATATTTTTCAGTACCGATCACTTTTTTTTCAAATGACAACAACAAAAAGGAACACATGGAAAATAAGTTCATTGTATTGATATTGATAGATATTGGCATAAAAAAGTTCTAGTATCCAAGTGATAAATCATTTGAATGATAATCCGATTATTGAAATCACTCGATTATAATACTAGTTCAATTATTCTCATCACTAAAAAATATGCCATTTTTTAAATTAATATTATAAATGTTATGGGAAAGAGAGTGAATGTGGGTGCTGGGCTGGCTGCTGGGTGAGTAAAACAACGTCAATACTTATAATATTATAAAATATTGTAAGGGCAAGGAAAAATATTAGAAATGAATTGTTGTACTTTGGATAATAAATAATCTGATAGTAAACTTTTTGTGCAACTTAACAACAGACCTAAAAGTAACAACTCCAAGCTCTGATTTGAGACAATTTGTGAAATATTTTTTATTTAAAAACAATAATTGTGTCATTATTATTAATTTGCACAAGATATGGCACTACGATTTTTTGTTTATAATAGTAATACCTACTAGATCTTTAGTTTTTTTTTATAAGCAAACTAGATAATGACCATACTTTTTAATAATAATAAAACATTAAAATGCAATATTTTATTCCCTTTTAGGAAAAAATAATAAATTATCAAATAAGAGAATTCTTCTTATCGAATCTTCAAAAAACACACCTTTCACTTTACCTGAAAAATACAGTAATCGAGTTGTATCTCTAAATCCAGGGACAAAAAAATTGTTAACTGACATAGATGCTTGGAGGCACATAGAATCTGCTAGATTCGGCATAGTCAAAAGACTTCAGGTGTGTATATTTTTACTGCTAATTACGTTCTGATCAAATTCTTGGTTTTTGTCCTAATAAATCACTGAAATTTTTTATAAAAAATGGAATACTGTAAAACTAATTTTAAGGAATTTTTTACTGTTGCACTTAATTAAAATAGGTAGTCAAACATTGTGTTTATTATTACAGAAAAACATTATAATAAAATAAATGCTGTTCCCAGTTTATTGATTGTTTAAACCGAGGTTTAAACAGATTCTCTGTTATATAAATACCTAAATAAAATTAACTTTTTATGGTTTGCCCTACTAGATAGGTACATGAAAAGTTTTATCTACACATAATCATTATTTAATAATAATAATAATAAAGTTCTTTATTTTCATAATTTACAGATTAATTACAATATAAATTTGTATCGTGAATTACATTCAATTTGCATTTTATCTATAATTATAAAAAAAATGCTAAATATGAGCTGTATATATGTACAAGACGTATTGGATGTTTTTCATCTTAAGTAAGTGGGGTTGCCACCTTTTCATTTCTTCAAACCCGTACTTTGTTTGTGAAGTCCTCAGCTTATAACATTTTATAAACCAGGTCATTCTGTCGAGCAGCTTCTAAAAAAAAAGAAAAACAGAAAAAAGAAAAAAAATAAAAGAAGGTCTGTATAAACAAAATCCTTCTGACAAAATAAGTCTTTTCTAAAATTATCCAGATATTCCTGGACATTTTCATCATGCGACCAGACTTCGGACACATTGTTCCAAATCCGGGTGAAATCCGTACAGGTGGAATTCCTATAAGTTAGCAAACAAAAAATAATACCTACACCTCAGTAAAATTTAAAAAAATCCTTTACATTTTGTCAGTTTTTATTCTAGAAAAAAACAGCTACTAAAGGATATTTATATGTTAAAATAGGTTACAGATGCACTGTCTGATGCATCAATATGCTTTGGAGAAGAAACATCTTCTGAAAATGTGTCTTACATCATTGAAAATAATCTTCTAATATATGCTGTCAAAAAAGAACTGGAAAGGTTAAAAAATGTTGAAGTACTATATGAAGAAAAAATAAAAGAATATCATTTACCAGATGCTGCTGAGAGCCATGTTAATCTTCATCTTGAGAATGGTGGACAATATAGTTGTGATTTATTGGTAAGTATATATTTTTTACTTTTAACATGTTATAATATATCGTCGCAAAAACTCATATACTTATATTTTGACGTGTTGTCAAATTTGCCTATTTTCGGGACCGATATTATTTTAAATTAGGTAAATTTTGTTCAACTTATTTTATTAATTAGTGAAAAGTCAGTGGACAGGAAAAGGATCATATTTGTAAATATTTTGAGGAGCACAATAAACAATATCCAACCAAAAAAAATAGTATGCAAAACATATGGCTAAACATTGTAATTCATATTATTTTACCAAACAGAAACAAATTGTAATAGTCAATTTTTGGCTCAATACTTTTAATCTAATTTTGTTTTTGTTTTAGTTAAACTTTTTTAAATTAATTTTATATTTGTGTTACAGCTGTTAGTCTGTAATAATTGATAATTTTAAGATTTTACTCTATAAGCGCCTCCACTAATACTTTTTAATACTATATGTGAAAATTCGTATATTGTTTTTATATATACAAAGGACAGGTATATACAGGATTTTAAAATTAATTCAATAAATACCTTTACAATAATTTTAAAATAATACATAACAATATCAGTAGTGTGAACGCTAATATCGATGAATTTAAAATTATCTTAATGAATATAGATATCTCTTTTGACTGTATAGTATTCACTGAAACTTGAAAGCTTCTAGACTACACTTTATATAGCTTACCAGGTTATAACATTATATATAATGGGGCGATTTTAATAAAAATGACGGGGTCTTAATGTATATTAAACAGGATTATGACTTTGAATATGAAATTATAAAAATTCAAAATGTAAATTTTTTGAAATGTAGAATTAACTTTAGTGGCCAAAATATCGTCATCACAGCGGTATATAGATCACCAGCTTCGTCAATTAGAGAATTTACGGAGGTACTTCAATCATACTTCGATAGTAATAAAGAAAAAGATGATTTCCACTTTTTTATTGGAGTCATGAATATTAACATTTTAGCTCATGATAAATACACTACTGAATATCTGAACACCCTAAATGAATTTGGCTTCTTATCTACAATCAATGAACCAACCCGACTTAAAAACTGTACGGATCATATTTCCTTAAAATCTAAACAAAATATAATGAATAATATAATGCCACTAGTACTTAAAAGTAATATAACAGATCATTCAACAACTATAGTACAACTAATCTTTAATAAAGATCTAATAAAAAGTGAAAAGCTATGTCCCAAAAAGATAAAGTACTTAAATCATACTAAACTGATACAGAAAATACAACAGGTAGATTGGCAAATAATACTTACGCAAACAAATATAAATATAGCAATGAATACACTTATAACAACAATTATCTGAACTCATAAATGAATCTACAGAAGTAAAAAAATATAAAAGAAAAACATCAAAAATTGCACCATGGATCACAGGTTCGATATTAACAAGCATAAACAAAAAAAATGATGTTTAAAAAACTGAAAAATGATTCAAATAATGAAATTTTAAAACGCGAGTATAAATCGTTTAGAAATTCAGTTACAAACTTAATAAAAAAATCTAAAGCCAATTATTACAAAAAAAAAAAAATTGAACTAAATGCCAGTGATCCAAAACAACTCTGGGGCGTGATTCAAGAGTTGAGTGGTTCGAGCAATAAAAGTAATAAAATTAATATAAAAAATGAAAACGACGAACTAATATGCGAAAAAAAGGAAATCGTCAATGAATTCAATAAACGTTTTGTTGGAATTGGGCAACTGCTCGCAGAAAAAATAAAAAAAAAACAAAATTTCCAGAAAACCTTTAAGAGACTTCCTAATTCAATAGTTTTATTACCAGCGGACTCTAAAGAAATAAAAAATTTGATTTGCGAACTCACAAATAAAAATCTACGGGAATAGATGAAATCAACGCGGAAACTATTAAGTTGCTCTCTAACTACATTATCGAACCATTACAATACATTATAAATAAATGTTTTCAAAATGAAATATGGCCAGAGGCATTTAAAAAGTACCATGGTAGTTCCTATTTTTAAAAAAGGTGATAGAACAATAGTTACTAATTATCGACCAATTTCACTTGTGACTAACTTCTCAAAGATCTTTGAGAAATTATTTAAAAAAAGAGTAATGTCTTTTATGGATAGGTATGGGTTACTCCCGCCTCGGCAGTTTGGATTTAAAGAAAATACTTCCACAGAAGATGCTTTACTCGTCCTAACCAACAAGATTCACGATGCCTTAGAGAGAGGGAGGCCGTGTCTGTGTATATTTATTGATTTGGCAAAGGCTTTCGATACAGTTAGTCAGTTAGCCACATTACTATTAGAAACATTAGAAGAGGTTGGAATAAGAGGAAATTGCTTTGCCCTTTTGCAAAGTTATTTACGAAATAGAACTCAAATGGTAAAATTGGAAAATGAAATTAGTGATGAAAGAAAAATAGCTTATGGAGTTCCTCAAGGGACTGTATTGGGGCCTGTACTTTTTAATTTATACGTAAATAATATATTTTCCCTAAGAAATGTATGCGATATCATAGGCTACGCTGATGATACAGCTATTTTCTTTGAAGCCGACACATGGTCAGAATTAAAAGACAAAGCAGAAAACGGCTTCCGCATTATAAAAAATTGGTTTGACCACATGCTCCTAACTATTAATATGGATAAAACCTTCTTTTTACCCTTTAGCTGCAACAAAGCTGGCAGTTGTACCTTTCAACATCTTATCAATGATACCTCCAATAACAAAATAACTTCCGTATCGCAGATAAAATACTTAGGAATCTTTATAGATGCACACCTTAAATGGGATATCCATGTTAATTATGTAATTAAAAAACTGCAAACAATCTTATATAAATTTAAACAGTTAAATAAATGCTTGCCACTAAATTTGATGAAATCTTTATATCTCTCCCTAGTGGAAAGTCACTTGCGTTACGGAATAATCATATGCGGCGGAACTCTACGAGTACATTTAAATTCGCTGGAGATAACACAAAAAAGATTTTTTAAATTAATTATGTCTAAAAAATCTATTTACCCGTCTGATATTCTCTATAAAGAATGCCAAATAATGGACTTAAGGCAGTTATTTTATTATTGGTCCAATACTAAATCTTACTCCTCCCAAAATAAAGAATTTTCTGAACACTCCCACAATACTAGGCAAAAAATGATTACAGTTTTACCCCTAGTAAAAAAATCCATTTCACAAAGATCCTACTCATACATCGCAAAAAAATTTATAGTCTTCCAAATAATCTAAAAAACATAAAAAAATAAAACTATATTTAAAAAGGAACTAAAAACATATACTGGCAACTGACCGAAATAAAATTAGTGAGATATTGGAATCTCAATTAAAGTAATTTAATATTTCCGTTTTTACTAGTAATATTCAATGTCAATTCTGCAGTTTCTTGTTTCGTTCCATCTTTCCTTGAATTTCACAAGAGAATGTTTTTCAATTAGGTCTGTTACTACCGATTTTGTCAGGCCAATATAAGGGCGAGGTCCCAAAGTATTTGCTTCGTGATATTCTAGTACTAAACCTAAATAAATTCGTGATCTGTTCAGGGTGAGTAATGCTTGTCTGCTAACTGTATAGATAAGCATGTTCCTTCCAGTGATCTTGTTTCTGATGATTTCTTTTACTGCTATGAGAATTCCCGTGAGTTCTGTTTGAACTACACTGGCACTATTGCTCACGTTCCATTTTATATTTTGGTTTAAGGATTTGGAGTATATTTCACATTCTGAGCCTTGTTTTGTTTTAGAACCGTCAGTATAAATATGAATCGTACTTGCCACTTCCGGCTCTTCTGTTTGTTCTGTTATAAGTTTATGTGACTTACGGAAGATATATCTCAGTGGGATGGAGTCCATGTTCGCTTAAAGCAGTGGGAATGTATCGAGCGCCTCCTGCCAAAAGCGACATCTTGCCTCACCAGATCATACATGAGGTCATTGACATCAGATCGACCTCCATGATGTAAATATCAAGGGAAGTGAGACTAAGAATGATTTCTATGGCTCTGGTCGGTGTGGTTTTCATGGCTCCTGCTATGTTGTCCTAGTTTATGGATAGCTGTGAATTTTTGGGTTTTCGGTACCCAGACAACTGCACCGTAGTTAGCATAGGTCTTATGATGGCCGTGTAAATCCATGCAACGACCCTGAGGTAGAAACCCCAGGGGCGCCCCACGGTTCGGCGGCATTGTTCATAAGCAATGTATGCTCTTTTGACTTTGTTTTCTAAGTGTGAGTTCCATGTTAACTTGCTGTCAAAGGTGAGACCTAGGTACTTCACCTCTGTTGCAAAGTTCAGTTTTGTGTTTAGGAGTTCTGGAGGCTTTATTCCATTTTCATCATTTTTCTTGTGAAAAGGATCATTTCTGTCTTCTTGATACTGATAAACAGTAAATGGTCCTTGCACCACTGTTCTATAATTTTGAGAGTTACTTGCATTCTTTCTTAGAGTATGTTCTCAAAATTCCCTGTTTGCAGAATGACCAGGTCATCTACATACGCTATTGTGTAGTGAATGTCATTTAATACTTAACATCTTTGAATCAATAGTTTCAGTTTGTCAAAAAATTACATGTTTTGTTATGTTATGTTTTATGAGTTTTGAAGAAAATAAATTAAAAAAAAAAATTGAAATTAATTCAGAATGTCAAGACTTTTTTTATAAAAGTCGTGACTTATTCCAATCCTGCAATAAAGCATAATTTGATTTTTTAAATCTTATTTTTAAAAATTTTTGTAAATTTGCAAGTTATTTGTCTATTCGACAATCGGCCTTAACACAAATATTTAAAATGCTATGTTGAATATAATGTTATTAATTTTTTAGTTTTCAAAAGGATAAATTTTATTATTTCAGGATTAAAAAACATAAACAATTAGTTCATTTATGTTTTCGTTTAAAATTCACTAAAATGTTTAATAAAACAAGTAAAACAACAGATAAATCAAAAAAGACAATTATTAATGAAAACTTTATTAGATTTCATTATTTAACTTCATAAAAAAATACATTAAAATGTTTATTAACTCTATTTAATATTTTTCAATAAAATATTAATTATTGTTCTATCAATCACATCAAAAACACATTAAAAAAAATTATTATGTACAAGAGGATATTGGTTTAAATGACTAACGTTGTTATTCATTTCATAAATATAAGATGTTTAATAAAGATACATACACATATTTAATCTATTTTGAACCATTTAAAGTTTGATATATTTTATCAATCTTTAACTTTAGCAGTTTTTTGTGTTCATTAAAGTCTTTTGAAATATCATCAACTTGATTTTTAATTGTTGCCAGTTGATTTTTACTTCCATATTTAAATCCGTCACTGTTATAAGAACTTAATCTTGAAATAGAAGGTGAAATCATGTCATAATAGTAATCTCTTTTAGTCAGATTTCTTTTTGGTTTTTCTTTTTTAGTTACAACAAGTTGATAACAACTCTGTACTAAATCACGTGGTATTTTTTCTTCTCTTGGATCATTTGGCCGTATATACAATGCCCAGTAATATTGCGATTTTAACAATAATGCTTTATTATGTAAGAATCTCATTACTTTGGGCGGAATACAAGTCAGTAGTTTGGAAAACAACATGCTTTCTAAATGGGCTACCAATTCTGCCTGGCGAACCAATCTATCAAGTCCAGCACTTTGTTGCAGTTCTTGTATATCACTAACAGCAAGACCAACAATAAGATTTGTCAAAATTACAGTGACAAATATTACAAAACAAAGATACATTAAATGTGCAGTGTAAGGATACCTAATCTTGTGTAGTTCTTCTTCGGGGAAAAATACATCTTCATACTCTAATTCTCCTGACATCATAATTATTACCTTTAAAAGAACCCATTTCAAATCTTTAAAAGCTGGGTAATTTGCAAAGATAACTCCAAAACTTAGAGCATATGCTATAAATAAGCAAAAGAATGCTACCATGATTTTAGCAAAGTTCATAGCAACAGTTGTAAACATTTGAATATATAAACCAAACATGGGAAATCGTCCTACTATAATCATTAATTCCACCCAAGTAATAAAGATGGATACAGCGGCAACATGATGTTGCCATGAATAAACATCCTGTTTGACATCCATATTTGTTGTTGGTTGGACACAACAAAAGACACCAAAAATAATTAACCACTGCAGACCATTTTCCCATTGTCTTACATAAGTTGACCATGAATGTGCAATTTGAAATAATTCTTTGACTAGCAAAAATAAATTAAGAATCAATAAAATGTATCCTACAACCTTAACGCCATTGGGAACCCAACAAGGGCGAACTACGCTTTTAGCTGAAGGACAATCTTTTAAAAATACCCCTACTGTGTAAAGAGTAAATAAGCATACAAAAAGAGAATGATAAAAAAGACTGAAGAGAAAAAATTTTCTTATTGTTTTCCATTTTAAAAATAAAAATGTTTCACATAATGGATGCTTTAATACTTCCTTATGACCTACTTCGATGAAATTTAATAATAGTTCTGTTTCTTTGTTACCCATAGTGGGTACAAGAACTCTAAAATCTAATTTTAGCTCACAGTCAATATCTCCGAGCTCATGATCCGTCAATCTTATTGCATTATCAAATTTCATTTTATATTTTCTTATAACATCAGGCGTTTTCCTTGTTATAAAGGTTAGAACGGATATACCTCCGTTTGTTCTCGCCGTTACATCGCCGCCATTATTTATCAAGAGCATAACGCAGTGGGAGTACTCATTTAACGCAGCTAAATGTAAAGGAGTGTATCCAAAAATATCAGGTTTATTAACATTCGGCCTAGCTGCAAGTAAAGTCCTTACACAATCACAAGACCTGGATGCTTTTACAATGGAACTATGTAATGGCGTTCTTCCGTCTAAATCTTCAGCATTAGGATCTGCACCTTTTCTTAAAAGTAATCCAACAGTTTCTGAACTTTGCGATAACGCTGCTAAATGCAAGGCAGTTTGCTTTTTATTGTTTTTCGATCCTATTTGAGCACCTGCATTCAGAAGCATATTCACGCAGTCTAAATCCCCATCTTCGGCAGCCAAATGTAATGGAGTCTGTTTTGAAGTCCCGCATTGAACATTTACAGCAGCGCCGTACTGAAGCAGTAGTTTAATTATTTCAGGATTTCCTAAGGCCGCTGCTACATGGAGTGGGGTTTCAGTAAAAATCTGAAATTAAAGAATTACTTTTAAATATAAAATTTCGATATTAAAAAAGGCGTTACTGTATTGAAAAATAATTAGGATTTGAAAAATAAACCACTTTAAAAATCAATGTTCCCATTATTCCTCATTTAATGCAGGACTTAACATTTAAAAACAAAAATGTTGCCTTTTAAGTTTTTACAAAAAAGTTAAACAGAAAAGAACAAGTTCGAAACAAAGTGTTTTATTGCTTTTCGAAATATCGCCTTTAAGGTCTATACATTTTTGCATACGCTCAAACCAATTCTGGAAATATGTTTTCCAATCTGAAGCTGATATCGTAGAAACATGGTGAGGTGATGAAAATCGCTGTCCGCGCATGTTTTGTTTGATAGTGGGGAACAAGAAGAGTCATTAGGCGATAAATCGGGTGAATACGGGCAAATATTCAGTTGTTTGACGTGCTTTATGGGAGCTGGCATTATCGTGATGAAGAATGATGCGACGTTTTTTGTTCTTTTTCCTTATTTTTTCGAAGACCGTTGGCAAACAAATTGTTGTTTACGATTCGGCATTAACAGTTCTTCGATCCTCTAACGGAATGGTTGCGATGTGTCCAGTACAACCGAAGAAACAAGCGATCATTTTCTTGGAAGTGCTCCGTGAACGAACAACTTTAGTGGGATTGGGTTCATCGTTAAACACCCAAACAGTAGACTGTTGTTTGCTTTCAGGTTCATACGAATATATCCAAGTTTCCTCTCCTGTAACAATGTTGTATACGGATTTTGAACGTCCTCGGTCGAATTTTTTCAACATTTTCTGATACCAATCAACACGAACCTTTTTTGCGCTTCGGTCAAATTATGCGGAATCCACCTGAAACATATCTTTCTCACCCCTAGATGTTCTTGCAAAATCAATTGTATTGCAGTCTGCGATATCCTAAGAGACGCTTCTATCTGTCTGTAAGTCACATGCCTTCTTTATTCATATTGCGCACAGCATCGATGTTTCTCAGAACGACAACCGATTTTGGCCGACCTTCTCAACATTCATCACTGACGGACGCACGACCATGACGAAATTCTGCAAACCAATTGTAAACAGTCTTCTCTGATGGTGCTCCATTACCAAAAAAGTTGCAGGAAGCGATTCTATGCATTGTTGTTGAGTGAGGCCTTTTTTAAAATCATAAAAAATTATCCAACGTAAGTCTTCACGGGTGATATCCATTTTTGCACAAACTTGCTTCTTTTAAACGTTCACTATCAACAACTTAGTCAATTTCTAAATCGCCACTGGCTTCGCAATAACAAACGTCAATGTTCACAAATACAGTGGTTCCACAATTCATTAACGCCACCTATTGTTCGATTGTAAAAACTTAAAAGGCAATCCTCTTACATCGTTACACCCAATACAAAATAAAATTCTTTAAGTATCAACTCAATTGTAAAAACCCAAACATTTGTGTCATCAATAATATTTGTTCCTTAGTTTAGGAAATTGGGACTAAATTATCCTCGACGTCGACCCAGATAAATCGTTGATAATATACCTTTGTCGATTGTCCGATAATTGTTAGTTTTAATGGACTATAACAGTGTACTAGCTTACTAGCCAAAGGAGGAAATTGCAGCATAACCCCACAGACAATACCTACATAAGAAATCATTGCCAATATCGAAGCAGGAATTGAGAAACTACCACCTGATGTCAAAGAAGAGGTACGCAGTGAATCTGCAAGAATTCTACGAAAAGCCAAACCCCCAAAAAGCAATATTTCAAGAGGCGAGAAGACAGCTATAAGAAGTCTCAATGAGGATGAAAACATTATAATTCTACCCGCCAACAAAGGAAATGCAACAGTCGTTATTAACACATCGGACTACAGGAGCAAGCTGAATGATCTGGTCAATAAAGATCCAACACAGAAGATTTTAAGAAAAACCACCAAATTAATAAGAGTCGTCACTACCACTGGAGACAAAGAAGAATATCTGCACTACTGAAGCTCTACTTCCAAGACTATATGGATTATTAAAAATTCACAAAGATAATGTATCACTTAAGACCAATATCAAGTGCCATAGGATCACCAACTTACAACCTGGACAAACATCTGGCGGAATTTCCGCAAACATACGTGCGAGACTCTACGCACTTCATCGAACACTTAAAGAGTATCAGCTTAGAGCCTAACGACATCCTAGTCAGCTTTGACATTATTTCTTTATTCATAAATCTGCACTTTCACTTGTCATCGGTACCAGCCACCAAATCAATTTAATTTAGGTCCACTTACGATTCCATCTAAATCATCTGTTAGATATCTTGGGGTAATACTAAACCAAAAATTATCCCGGAGAGATCATATTAATCATATCGTTAAAAAAAGTGAGAATGCCTTTTAAAACACCAAATGGGGAGCGGATCCAAACATAGCCCTGATATTCTATATAGCTCTTATCCGTTCAGTGCTCGACTATGGATGTGTACTATATGAGAATGCTAGCTTGAGTCAACTACAAAAAGTGGAAGTAATTAAAAATAAAAGTTTGCGATTATGCTTAGGAACCTTACAAAGTACTCCTGTAAATGTATTAGAAGTAGAAGCAGTAGAACCACCACTAGAGATTAGAAGAAAATACTTGAGCAATATTTTTGTATCCAAGTTACTGTCTCAAAGTGGCACTAGAGAGCTGCAAGAACTTAAAGCTAAAATAAACTATCCATATTGGAGACATAAGAAGAAACCCCTTTTAGTATTAAGTTTACAACGACTAAATAATGTTCAGACCTTCCTTTATAAAAACAACAAACTTAGAATATAATCTAGATCTTCAACTACAACTTTACTACCTTCAGATAGAACATGTGCAGTGCCGGACATCATAAACCACATTACTGACAATACCATAAGTACCAGATGGCCAAACTCAGAATATATTTATACAGATGCATCAAAAATTGAAGACGAGACTGGATGTGCCTTATACCATTCCAACGACAATGTATCACAGATGTTTTAAATTACCAACTTATATGTCCATTTACATGGCAGAACTTATAGCAATATTAGAAGCATTAAAATTCGCCATTAATCATAATAAATCCAATTTCGTAATTTTAACAGACAGAAAAAGCACTATTGATTCTTTAAAAAATATACAAATTTCAAGTACATTACCAGTAGTGATAATGAAGATTTTAGAAACAGCAATAATTCTCCTCACTATAAGGAAGACCTTTTCTTTGGTTGGATCAAAGGCCATCAAGGTATCATATGTAATGAAACAGCAGATCAGTTTGCAAAATTAGCTACAAACTCTGGAATACTATTACATGAACCACTAATGTCAACCTCGGATTTAAAATCATTTTTTAAGAAAAAAACAATTAGAAAGCTGGCAAGAATTATATTTCAACTCAACAGTAGGAGTACGGTTTCGAGATATAAATCCCAAAATTAGTAGAAAGCCATGGTTTATTGATATTTCAAATCGGCATATGATTAAAACCATAAACAGAATAAGATGCAAACATGGTTTATATCCTGAACACAAATTTAAGATAGGTTTTGCAGATTCCCAATTTTGTAGTTGTAGTCAATTGGGTAATTTACAACATTTAATCTTTAGCTGTCCCGATTTTCAAAATCTAAATGAAGATTTTTACAAGAATTTACAATTAACAGGAGCAGCATTCCCCACCAATTTAAATGCGCTTTTATGTTCAAAAACTGTACTATGTTATATATAAACATTTGAAAAAAAAATGAATCCAAAAAGGATACAAAAAAAATTAAAAGAAAAACAAAACAAAAAAAAAGAAAAGAAAAAAACAAACATATATAAATATAAAAAATGGAATTCGTCGCCTAAAATATTATTATTGTAACACAACTGTTTTTACTCATGAAAATTTTGTACTTTTAATAGTCTTTTTTAAGTTCCTTCTTTATTAATTATTGTATTGTTGTAATTTGTAAATAGGTTTAGATTCGTTTTAACATTAGCTCTGGCCAATTAATTTGAGATCAAGCTATCAAACAAAACGCATGCGGACACACAAAAACAAACATATAAAAATATAAAAAATGGAATTCGTCGCCTAAAATATTATTATTGTAACACAACTGTTTTAACTCATGAAAATTTTGTACTTTTAATAGTCTTTTTTAAGTTCCTTCTTTATTAATTATTGTATTGTTGTAATTTGTAAATAGGTTTAGATTCGTTTTAACATTAGCTCTGGCCAATTGATCTGAGATCAAGCTATCAAACAAAACGCACGCGGACACACACACACAGACGCACAAACACAAATTTGCCACTCGAAGAAGTAGTCATCTACATAGGGGAGTTTTTTCCAGGGCTTATCAATCTTTTCCGTCACTCGCTCACGACATTATATGTCCAGTGGAATCAAACATTCTATGAACAAATTGACGGAGTCGCTATGGGCAATCCACTCAGTCCAGTTGTGGTCAATTTTAACATGGAAAAAGTTGAAGAGAGAGCTATTCACACTGCTGAAAAACAACCAAAGCATTGGCTGAAGTATGTGGATGACACATCTGCAATCTGGAGCCACGGGAGAAAAGACCTAGTACACAATTTCCTAAACCATCTGAACAGTTTTCATCCAGAAGGTGTCACTGACCGAATTGGCAAAATCCTAAAGAAAAAGAAAATCGGCACTGTCTACAAGCCAACAAAGAAAATAGGGCAATATTTTAAAACAGCGGAAGACCACAGATACCTCCTTACATCATCAAGAGTCTACAGAATTCTATGCACTTCTGGAAAAGTATACATAGGACAAACAAAGAGAAGCATTGGTACACGACTAACAGAACACAAGAAATACAATCTAAATCAATACTTGATTGCCAACAGTCCCTCCAGGCCCTGACAGAACACAACAAGATCACCCTTGAATGGGTGCCGGAACATGAGGGAGTGTTTGGAAACGAGAAAGCAGACCTCCTAGCAAGGAAGAGAGCGGAAAAAACTCTTATTGGACAATAACCCACATGTGGTATCTCATACCAACATGTTAAATGGGTGTTAAAGGAACAAACAAATAGTGAACACCATTGGCTCTGGTTGGAACTTCCTGGACTTAGACAGTCCAAAACATTCATAGAGGGGTCATCCACGAGCAGACAAAATCAACTGCTAAACCTCAGCAGAAGCGAACTCGGCCGTACTAGGACTCCTTACGGGACACTGCGGCCTTAGAAGACACCTAAATCTTTTAGGGATATCTGATGACTCCCTATGTGGAATATGTGAAGAGGAGGACGAAACTCCTATTCACATACTATGCCCCTGTCGGGAATGGTACTTCGGGGTACAATATCCAGGACCTGAAAAAATCGCGAAAGTGCCCATCAGACATATTCTTGAATTCATCAAGAAAATCAAGATATCGATTTTTTAAAAGGTAGGAACTTGAAAATTGGAATTGTAGGTTCTCATCATAAATAAATAATGAAGTGTTTCAGGATTTTTGCATTTTAACATTTTAAGGGGGGGGGGGGGGAATGGGGGGTGAAAATTTGTTTAATAGTATGTATATATTTTTTTGTTATTTAAAGTTTGAAACATAAAAATTTAAATTACAGCTACTGATTAAAAATAAAAAATGATGTGTTTCATGGTTTTTGGATTTTCACATTTTAAGGGGGGAAAACGGGTGTAAAATTTTGTATAGAAGTATAAATTTTTTGAACGTTGGAACTTGAAAATTATAATTGTAGCATAAATAAATAATGACGTGCTCTGTGGTTACATTTTTGTATGGTAGTATCATAAAAATAAACTAAAATTAAAAAATAATAATAATTAAAAATTAATAAAAATTAATAAAAATTAATAAAAATTAACAAAAATTAATAAAAATTAATGAAAATAAAAATTAATAAAAATTAATAAAAATTAATAAAAATTAATAAAAATTAATAAAAATTAATAAAAATTAATAAAAATTAATAAAAATTAATAAAAATTAATAAAAATTAATAAAAATTAATAAAAATTAATAAAAATTAATAAAAATTAATAAAAATTAATAAAAATTAATAAAAATTAATAAAAATTAATAAAAATTAATAAAAATTAATAAAAATTAATAAAAATTAATAAAAATTAATAAAAATTAATAAAAATTAATAAAAATTAATACAAATTAATAAAAATTAATAAAAATTAATAAAAATTAATAAAAATTAATAAAAATTAATAAAAATTAATAAAAATTAATAAAAATTATTAAAAATTAATAAAAATGAATGTAAATAAATACAAATGAATAAAAATTAATAAAAATTAATAAAAATTAATAAAAATTAATAAAAATTAATAAAAATTAATAAAAATTAATAAAAATTAATAAAAATTAATAAAAATTAATAAAAATTAATAAAAATTAATAAAAATTAATAAAAATTAATAAAAATTAATAAAAATTAATAAAAATTAATAAAAATTAATAAAAATTAATAAAAATAAATAAATAAAAATGAATAAAAATAAATAAATATGGATAAAAATATATAAAAATAATTTTAAATGAGTAAAAATAAATAAAAATTAATAAAAATTAATAAAAATTAATAAAAATTAATAAAAATTAATAAAAATTAATAAAAATTAATAAAAATTAATAAAAATTAATAAAAATTAATAAAAATTAATAAAAATGAATAAATATAAAAAAATGAATGAAAATCAATAAAACTAATAAAAATTAATAAAAAAAGAAGTCACGTATTTTTTTATATTAATTACACGACTACATGCGAGCCAAGTAGCGAACAAAGTCGCGGGCAACAGCTAGTCATAATATATAGTAATTATTTACCTGATATGTATTGGGATTGGCATTGTTCTCTAAAAGTTCTTTAACACATTCGGCTGCTGAACTTTGGACAGCAAAAAATAGTGGGCTTCTATTGCTGGAAGTATTCAAACCAGCATTAACATCTGCACCATGTCTTATCAATATTCTAACACAAGTTATGTCTCCACCACCGGCTGCACAGTGCAGCGGCGTTATTTGTTTTGAATGGTCCCAAACATTTATATTACAACCCGCATCTATAAGAATTTGCAGGCATTCACTTTTTCCACCATATGCTGCTAAGTGTAAAGCAGTTCTAAAAATATAAAATGTTGAAAATTAAACATGTTTATTTTTATTCAATTTATCAATATCCAGCTGAGCGTTTTTGACCAAAGCAACGCATTATTGCTGACGTAAAAATGAGTCAAAGAGATTGACTAGTTGAGATTTTAGGGCGTCTTGTTCATGAACTGAATACCTAGTTTTGTACTTATTAGTGACGGGACTTTTCATGAAAAGTAATTTTTGGACTAGCCCGATGGACATGTCCGGAAAAGTCACAATGAAAAGTAGTCGACCTTGGACATAGAAGACATACAGTTAAATCTTTATCCTGGATGTTTTTTCAAAAACACTTCGGAAACAATATTGGCATTTGTATTTACGTTTTTTTAGGCCAATCATTTGTAAAATACTTCCAACCTTTGTTTTTTTTTTGGTAATTTTTTCACCTGTTTATTTTAATAAGATTTGAAACGAAAATTCGAAATCATTGTTAAAACATATAAAAGTCAGTAATCATTTGTAGTTTCTTCTTTTTTAAACTATATTTTGCCTTTGTAAGAAATTCAGAAAAATTAATTAATTTAATGTCACGCATGCGCAATACACTTTTCCACATTTGAAAAGTGTGTTTTTCAGACTAGTCCGTCGAACTTTGTCCGTGGACTTTTATAAGCGATCCATCACTAACTTTTATTATTTCATTTAAATGATTTTAGACCCTAAAATAATATTAATAAAGTTAGTAGATAAAATTACACTTTATTTATATTTGCAATAAAAATAATTTAGTTACATAGGTACCTTTAAATTACATTTTTACAACCTATGAACAATTATATTATAGAAAAAAAAACTAAAAAACTCAATACGTATATTATGTCAAAATCAATAGAATTGTTCGTTTTTGTTTGGCTTCCTGACGTCTCACTAACACTTCGTATTGGCATCATCAAAGCTATCATTTAGTACCTATAGTTTTATCCTAGTATAGTTATTTTTGTTGGTCGACAACGCTTAACTGGATATTGAAAATATCTTTATTAATGTGACTAATTTCAAAGTAAATATTGTGATATAATAAGGCCTAATTTTTGACTTCAGTTCCGTAATATTTACCACTTAGTTCTACCTAAACTAAACAAGGCGTGGACTGTTCACCAATTATGTAGCGAAAAAACGAATTTCGGAGTATTGAAATGTGACATTACAGAAGCGTTTACTGTAATATTATTTTACACTATGTCTGTAACTTCTGCGGGAGCTGAAATATCTTTTAGCAAATTAAAAATTGTCAAAAATTATTTAAGAAATAAAATGGGGCAAAATCGACTTCGGCATTTATCGTTAATTGCAATTGAAAACTAGAATGAAAATATATAATGCTTGCTATATTATACTCTTCACAGTTTAACAGACCCCCTTAACACCCATTTTTATTCATTTTTTATTTTCAAAATCAATAGGCTTTGTCCCTTTATAGAGCTTGATTTTTCCTGAATATTTTAGATAATGTCGTTTTTGTTACCGACCTAATTTTTTTTTTTTTAATTTTTCAACCCCCTATTTTTATTCAGATTTTTTTGGCCCCTCTTTTTTATTCCATATTTTTTAATCAAAAGTTTCATGTTGATATCGCTAATCGTTTTTTATTTAATTTCAACCCCCCTTAACCCCCAATTTTTATGCATAAGCTTGCAGAACAACTAAATAATGGGAATGCCTTCAGACGAATTGCTCCAAAAGTTAGTATATCAGACAGGGAAGCGTGTACGGGAGGACCTCTTATTCATGCAGAATTCACCTGGTATACAAACGGCTCCAAAACCCATGAAGGTTCAGGTAGGTAATATATATAGTACCAAGCCAAAGCAAAGAATCTCACTGAGCATAGGTAAACATGCGACAGTATTCCAGGCAGTAATTGCAGCATTATATCACTGCGCAAAAGAGGTATTAAGACAGAAGGTAAATTGAAAAACCATTGTCATATACTCAGACAGTCAAGCGACGTTAAAAGCACTCAGTTCTACGCAGGTACACTCAAAGCTTGTGTGGGAATGTGTGGAAGCCCTAACAGAGCTGGGTAGTCAAAACAGACTAACTTTAGCCCAGGCCGCAGAGGACATGAGGGCAACGAAGAGGCTGATTTATTAGCCCGTGAAGGAGCCTCAAAGGCTCTTATTGGCCCAGAACCCTTCTGTGGTGTCACAAAGATAATTATCAGAATATGCAGAAAGCAGTGCATGGTTAAAAAATTTCAGAAATGGTGGAAAAATTCACCAGGACAGAGACAGGCCAAAGAGTTCTTAAAAGGACCATCGCCTAAATTCACCGAGCATCTACTAAGTCTTAATAGGAAAAATACTAGTAGATCTATTAACAGGGCATTGTAGGCTTAACAAACATATGTATAATATCGGTCTGACAGAATACGTATTGTGCTACTGCGAAGGTCTAGCAAGACTGTGATTCCTTACACTTGGAGAAGAAAAACCAAGGGCAAGTAGTTACGCCGGAGACCTACTTCCTAGTCTATAGAGTCTACTACAAAAGACCGAATTAGACAAGGTACTCAAAACAACGATTAAAGGATATCCACAATAGATCTGAAAAGGTCGAGGTGGGGGAGGCCACATGGCGCAAACTTCTAATTAAATTTAATTTATAATAAACCATTTTTTGTCAAACTTTATTTTATAGTTATTTTTAAAACAAATTTTTATTTGTTCGCATTCCGGTCCTGTAGATTACCAAACTCTTTGTTATCCTGTCCCTAAAAAACCAAGAATTTGCTATTGTTATACATATTTTATCTGGTATCTAATATAAGGGGCCCATTTTTTATTTTTGCACCGGGGCCCTAGACCACCTAGCTATATAATTTGGCTAAAAATGTGAAATGGGCAATATCTTCGTTTTTTATCAACTTTACCACCAGATAAATTAAACGAATTGTATCGGTATTAGTAAGTGCCGAGTTTTTATATCATGCACTAACCTTCCACTCTCGTCAGTTTTATCCAAATATGGGTTTGCTTGTATGCATGCTTTTAATATATTTGGTCTGCCCATCCAGGTTGACATTAATAAACCCGTATTTTTATTCAAGGACACCACAGCCTTTTCATCATCTTTTAATATAAGCTCATTGAGTTCATCTGCATCAGGTAAAGCCTACAAATTTAAAGATATATTAAATTGATTATGTACTTTTATAATAGCTTGATACATCAATGAATTGAAAAAATAAATGTTAACATTTAATGTATTTTTTTATTCCTAAGTTGCTTGATAACCTAAGAATTACTTTATTTAAATATATTACCATAAGCCCTTCCCATATCGATTCAGAATTCCATATTTCCAAGTAGGGTCGATTTCTTGTAAGTTGTTCTGTTTCGTATTCAGATCCACTAACTCGCTCACTAGAAATACTTAATGAATCAGCTTGCATTTCGATATCTTTGGACCATCGCAACATTGAATCAATATCTTTAGGTCTGATAACATCGTCCATACTTCCAAATAAACGCAGAGGGTTCTCTAACAAAGTATTTGATTTATACTACTTATAATAATTCACATTTTCCAAGCGTTTTTTTAAGATTATGTAGGTATGAGGTACCCGGGGCGTCATCACCAAAGCAGTGTTAGATTGTTGAAGCAAGCAGATCTTAACTAAAAGCGATGCGTGATCTAAACAAAACGGGAGGGGGTGGGCATAAAAGAGTTGCGAGGCTATGGGTATCATTTAGTTAAAAATTGTGAAATTAAATTTGTTATTGTGAAATCCTGATACCGTGTATTGTATGTAGCTCAGTCCTACATTCGAACCGGAATTACACATATTGTACCTGTATATACCGTATCAGGGATTTCACAGGTTACAGATTCAAACAGACAAGCTATGGATCAGTTTTATGACTATGTAAAATGACATTTTTAATATTAATGGACTATAACAACCATAGATATACATATAACCAAAACAGGATTGTTTACAAAATTTCTGAAGCCAACACGTGTTCACATTCTAAGCGTCATTTGCAGAAATGCAAGATTACAGTATTCTTAACAGTAGTAATCCGATTGCGTTGTAAAACACGTTTCATTCATGATTTAGCTTCGAGATTTGTTTATTAGAAGTTAGGTATGATGTATACCATGAGCGTTCAAAAACAAATTTAAAAATCTATTAAAGATTTATTATTAGTAGATTTATAGCTAACGATTTACTTTGTGTTTTGAAATATTAGAAATATATTTTTGTTCTTTTATATAGCATTATGTCGATTTCATTTTTCTTTATGAAAAGTTAATTTGAACAAACTATAAAAATTTCACAAACACTATAGAATTCATCTTTTTGGGGTTAATTTCTTAATAGAACCATAAAGACGGATTTAACCAAAGGAAGTTTTTATTTAAAGTTCACGTTAACGTTAATTTAAAATAAGTCATAATGGTTTCCCTACAAAATTAAACAATTGTGGTATTGTTAATCTGTATTTAATTATAACATTTACCGGAATAGCCACGAAAATAAGTAAAACTTATATAGTCATAAATTGGAGTTGACAATTTAAAAACTTAAATGGCTCTATCTCTCAAAGAAGAGTCTCCGGCCAAGAGTGGGAAACTGTAAAACTGGTAGTCATAACAGAGAAAGTAACATGGGCAATACGCATCTTCAACCCATACAAATCATCAGGAGCAGATGGGGTAATGCCTGTGCTTCTGCAACGAGCAATATAAACACTGGTCCCGTATATTTATTTGTAGGCTCTACCAAAGACCTGGAAACAAAGCAGATTGGTTTTTATATCAACCTATGCCTTGGCAAAGGCCTCCAGACCAATAACTCTGATTTCATTTCTATTTAAAGGATTGGAAAATGATTGATCAACAGATCCGGAAAACCACTCAGATAGAAAGGCCATTTCATACAACCCAACGTGCCTATCAATCAGGAAAATTGTGTGAGTCTGCTCTACATCATCTTGTAACCAGAATAGACGGGAGACTCAGTAACCAAGAAATAGTTCTAGGAGCATTTCTTGACATGATAACTCATTTAAATCAATGGTAGCTGCTGCTCGCAAACAACCAATCTGCTAGTCAATAGAAGACATGTTACGCGGATGGCAATTAAAGACACAAATGTTCAGTGAAACCATGCAAGTGAATATCCACAGGGCGTCCTTTCTCCTCTACTGTGGAACCTAGTGGCAGATGAACTGCTGAGAACATTGAATAATCAAGGGTTATGCCCACAAGGATACGCCGATGACATTGTCATTCATGGGAAACACCAAATTACAGTCTTTGAACTCATGCAAAGAGCTCTAAGGCTGACAGAAATGTAGTGCATTGGTATACGCTGACAGGGCACAACTCATGATCTCGAAAAACAAGGTTGAATATTTTATAAACCCCTATCCTGTTTGAGGAAGGCTAAAAAGAACAAACCAAGGAAAATATATGGGTCTAATCCTAGATAGAAAACTTACTTGGAACCAACACTTACAAAAAGTGACCAACAAATGTAAAATGTCTCTCATTGTAGCGAGATGGACATTTGGGAAAACATGGGGATTAAAACCGAAAATGGTCCACTGGTTATATTTGGCAATTGCAACACCCATGATAACTTATTGAGAGAGTGTTTGGTGGTCAAAAGTAAACCAGAAAACAGCTCTCAATACCTTTTCAGGAGTACAGAGGCTGGCATGCCTTTGTATTAGAGGAGCATTGAGAAGTTCACCGAGATTCTCTATGGAAATACTTCTAAACCTCCCACCTTTTGACCTAGTCATTAAGAGGGAGGCCAGAATGAATGCATACAGGCGCTAGTTTTAGTGGTTAAATATTTTATTTTTATTTTAGTTGAATAATTGTCTTATCCTTTTGTGTCTGTTCAGTTTCAAACTGACACATATAAAAAGTTTCTGCCCATTATTTTATTAGAGAACTACCTTTACACTCCATAGGGTCGTTTGGTTTTAAACTCGATCGAGCGAGAGTCGAGGAGACCGAGAAGTAATGACGTCACAATAAAGCATTGAATCAAATCAAATAAAACAGGGTAAAAAACACAACCTCGCTTTTTTGTGATTCTTGTTGCTGGTTTGTGTGTCAAAATAGTGAGCAAAAAGTGAAGAAAATAAAAAAAACTTTAAGTAATAAGGGACCATGGCCTTGAAATGCAGCATATACCACAAATGCCCGCTTCGCTTTCAAACTCCATGTCTGTGATTACTGGTGATTAGATCTGGACCAATGACATATATAGTTTATATGTCATTGATCTGGACAGAGCAAATGTATTTTCCAAACACACGTTTCATTTTTTTTATGGCGAATAATTTTAGCTATAAGACAAAAGCGGCTAAGTAATTTGTTAACTTCTTGTCTGGTCTCAAATTTTGAGATTCAAATTTGTTTGTAGTTCAATTAAAAAGAGATAGGTAGAGACAAAGGCAAATTTCTCCCTCTTATCGATAAACATACTATTTTTTTTCAAATGCAGAATTTTAGTGTTGTATTTATTTTGATCGCATATTATAACTTTCTGTTTATGAATTGGTGGATATAAAAATTTAATTAGTTCTCACACTAATATACGCAGAATGTATTGTCTAAATAATAGTCTTTTTCTTTTCCTAATGCTATTAGTATTATTTTCAAAAAATTAATATTTTTTTTACTTTATTTAATAAATATATACCTACTTAAATACATAATATACTTTTATCCTCGGTACGTATTGTATTTTAAAGATACGAAAATAAATTATTACAGAAACTATATGTCGATCTTGTTGGTTTCCAGTTTTCGTTGAAATATAAACTTTGCGTTAAAACAAGCTACTTTTAGATTGTAAAATAAACAACTTTGAGGTACATATACTTTATGTGTATGCATTATTTTGTTGATTATTCGAAGTCTATTTTTATGATATTAACAAAATTTTGTTCATGTGAACCAATAATCTGAAAGTTAATTACAAGTCAAATTAGTTCATTTGCGTACGTAGATATCTTAGATACATTTAAAATAAAATCCTTTGAATTAGACGAACATTTGTGTATTTTATCACAATGGTTATAAAAGGTGAAAAAAGTTTGATTAATTTATGTTGAACACATGGACATTGCAAGGAAATAAAAGGAAGGATTTAACATTAAAACTAACAAATAAAGTCTTGTATAACAAGGGTCCAAACCTTAATAATTTTAGTGTAAAAACAGGTGTAAAGTTGTTACTTATAATATAACTGCTTTGTTTTAAGATATTAACATGATATTTTACAAATTTCAATCAAAATAAATTTCAAGAAAAGTGAAAATAATGAATGTGGAAAACTAAATTGCTGCTACGAATACAAACAAGACAACGTTGATTGTACTATCACTACGGAATCAATATCTGTTAACCGATGGCTCACATACCAAATAGTATATTGTGCAACTAGTGCGGAAACATAATATTTTATATTAGAAAACATGAAAACAACTATACTTAAAAACAAATTAAAATTATATAAATCAATGAGTAAATAATATTAACTCTAAGCATGATCTGAAGGTGAGATGAACACAGGTTCGCTGTCACTATGCGTACATGAAAATGCTACAAAAGAACAAATAGCCAAATGACAGTTATCATAAATGGAAACTGAGAACTGCCCTAGGACTAAACTAATCCAAATATAATGCAACCCATGAAGAATACTTACTTTTGTCTATGGACTTCTTAGCATGGAGCAAATTATATTTTAAGCACCATATAGTAATAGTGTTTACCCATTTTCAGAAGTTCTTGTAAGTGCAGTTAACCTTAAAAAAATAGTTTTGAATAAATACTAATAAAATATAGTATATTATATTACGAATAGAGAAAGTAACGTTTTCCGCACGAGTGTAAAATATTGTCGCACGGGGCACTAGCCGAGTGCGAAAATCACACGAGTATGAAAAATAACTTTTACACAAGTGATATACAATATTTTTCTTACGACCACCAAATAATTTCATCAAAAAAATGTAAAACCGTGCAATCTAGCTATGGCGGTTCAGTCAAGATGTAGCTGGTTCTAGATTGTATTTGTCCAATTTAATAATTTTTAAGGTGTTTTACGGATTAGGATTCCATTTCATAGGATGATAAAGGTATAATAATATTAGATACAAAAAATATTAGAATACAGTAATATGTTTCATTAGTTAATTTTTTTTAACGAGAACATTTTTTACTATTAAAGATGACACCTACTTACAATTTTTTTCCTGAAGTTATCAAAATAGTACTAAATAAATAGCGAAATGGCCTAACTGTAGGGGTGATATTATGATATATAAAATTGATTTAAATAAGTAAATATTGTCGTATTTTTTCAATTTTCATCTTTTTCCAAAATAAAATAAAAAAGAAAGATTGTTTTTTTCGGGGACTGAACCTGCGTCGCCAAATTCAAAGTTGTTAATATTAAACACTTTACGCTCTGGACTATGAAGTCTATATGTATGTATGGGTCCAACTTAGTGAGACAAGCTTACATGTGTTGTGTACAGTCTCTTACAAAAATAACAATTTTTAGCATTGAGAGTCTCGAACTTTTGGTATACACCAATAGGCGATATTTTTGTATACAACTGTCGCGAGTGAACTACCTTAAGGTCTTTTTTGCTCTATCTCCTCTCTTAAGCAAAGTTTTTTCCGCAAAAGCATTCGACCCAAAATTTCCTCTAATTTTCCTATGAAATGTATTAATGTCAGATTGTGAGGAACGTCGAGTAGTGTACTGAAATTTTTATTTTTTCCGAAAATTGTCGGAAAATTAGGAAAATAAAAAAAATGTTTTTTCGATTTTCACCAAACGATAGAATAAATCCGTTGTCGAAAAAAAAAAGTTGGTCTTGCGGGAAAATTGATGGAAAACCACTTTCCCGAAGGAAAATTTAAAATTTTCGGACATGATTCGACAGAGAAAAGTTTAATGTTTCTGTAGTAGTGAAATTCGAAGGGTTAGGGATCGAATTTCGTAACAGACAGACGGACAACACGTATTTAGGTTTTTTATGCTCAAATTTTCATGTTTCTAACTTCAAAGAACAAAGACTTTCATACAATGTTCCCCACACATTTCAATCCCCATTTCTCCCCTTAAAATTTCCAAAAATTCTTAGCGGATTCTTACATTATAAAATAAACCGATGTTCCAAAATTTCAACCTTTTGGACCTAGTAGTTTTGGCTGTGCGTTGATAGGTAAGTCAGTCAATTAGGACAAACGATTTTATATAGTTAGATAAGTATTGAATACTGCAAGTGAAAACGTTTTCCTGTATTTCAAATCTTGACATTTCAATTTTATTAGTAGGTATGACAAATTATTGTTCATTTAATTTTTCCCTTTTTATTAAAAAATGTATACCTTTTAGAAGCAGCTGTTTAAAGGTTTATGATTTTTAAATTGAGATAATTCATAATGAAATACCTATTCGTGTAATGTACATAAATGTCGACTATAAAACCGACCAATATCTATAGAACCTTTTCACAAAAAAAAAGCACAGAAAAGTATTATATTGTTTTACTTATGTTTTTAATGTGTTGACATTTTTGGCAGTAAAAACAAATATTTAGCAAATAACTCAATTTGAATACTGGTTAGTAATAGACAAAAATAAAATGAAAATACTTATAACTTTATTGTTTTCGAACTGTATTATATAGAAATCTAATAATATTCATCGTAAAGAGCACTCAAAGAAGCATCTGATGCTTTAGGAATTATCGGGTTGTGTCTGATGAAAACATTGTAAATATATATATATGCTATTCACCAGTGGCGTCTCGTGGCCTACTCTACGGAGGGGGGGGGGCTCACGGTCATTAGAATTTGAAATAGACCTTGCTGGTGTCGATATTGCTGGGAAATATTGGTCCGGATACTGAGATATACGTAATTTAGTATTACAATGTATTTGTATAATAGTTTGACAGAGACGTTATGCGTTAAGTTGTTGTCATTGTCATGAGAATTTTAAAATAAAAATATTATTTATATTTCCATTGATTCTGGATCATTTCATGGCGCAGTCAGTTCTATAGGTATCTACGCTGCCAATTCTAGTCCCAAAAAATGCCCAAGGCAAGCCGGAAAAGAAGTCGCAGGACGAAAATGGATCTCCAGTTAGCGCTGTAGAAGAGTTGAGCAGACAGGCATTAACAAATCTAGAATTTGATTTTAATCATACATTTGCTAGAATTGAGGACATGCTTAATAAAGTGTTACAAACAAATCAAGCAAATAATTGTATAGCTTCAACAAGTAAATTACATGGTACAGATGTACAAAACAACGGAGATGCCCACTTAGTTTTTATACCGAGTGCGATTACTGCTCCCGAAATGTTATATGTTATAAATTTAAGGATTGGAGGAAAAAAATTGAAACTTATTTGCTGATTCATGGAATACAAGGTGCCCCATATCGACAAGTAACAGCTGTATTATTTTCTTTTTTCGATCAAGAGATATCAGATGTTGTTCGCTTGATATTACAAATAGAATATGTGTCTGCTGCAAGTCCTTTAACGATTTTGAATAAATTAGATTATAAAATTTAAAAAAATAACTGGATAAGGCGTGGTGAATTTAAGGTTAGAAGACCAAACGCCGGCGAATCATTTAATTTATTTTATAGAGACAAAGCTATTCCAATTAAGCGACCCCAGCAAGCATTGTTATGATCGCTGCATAGAATCTGTTCATGATGCAGAAATAAGAAAAAAATGTCGTAAATTACCAGACACTGCAGGAATAAATGAAGTCATCAAGTTGTCAGGCGGAAGAGAGTGCTCAATTGGAAGAAAGTAAAAGCAATAGGGTAGTAGACGCTATAAATAAAAATAAATCAACATAGAGTCTTAGAAAGTGTCAAAGATGTAATCAATCTTGGCATAAGAACCTCAGATATTGTCCTGCTAAAAACAATGTTTGCAGTAAGTACCATATAAGAGGCCATTTTAAAGAATGTTGTCTCACTAAATTTGTTCAGGAAGTAAATGATATTGAAAATGAAAATGTCCAAGCCAGTTTTTTAGAAAGTTGCTCTTCCAAAATTACTACTATCAAGATAAACCAAATTTACTCAAAAATATCGCGACGAATTGATAACCTCCTCCTTTTTTGAAGTCGGTTAAAAAGACGACAAATTTGTGTTTCAATAGTATTGAACGATAAAAATACGCCGTAAACTGTATTGTACTGTACAATAGTATTTTTAAATATTTAGCTACACCAGATACAGGTGCAGAAGTATGTGTTGCTGGAGAAGATTTCTTAAACAAGTCTCAATTAAACTGCTAAGATTTATTAAAATCCAAATAGAAACTTGAGTCAGCTAATGGCCTACCTTTAGAGTTATTAGGTTACATAAAATGTAAAGTGTACTATGAGCAAAACGGAGCTGAAGTCAAGATCTATGTCTGCAGTAATGTTAAATAATTATTACTAGACTGCCAGGCACTTATTAGCCTCCGAATAATTCATGCCAATTTTCCAGTCATCGAAAGACACACAAGAAAATACCGTAACATCTGTTAAAATGTTTTCTAAAATTCCTATAAATCCATCACCAAAGGAATGTGAAAACATAGAAGAAGATACTACAGGAATATAAAAACGTCTTTAATGACGACGAAGAATTGAAACCAATGGATGAAAAGTTAGTGCACATACATTTAAAGGATAAAGTATGACCATTTGCAATATCATGTCCAAGAAAAATTCCTCTTGCTTGGAGGCAATCTGTAAAAGCAGAACTAGATAATATGGTTAAAAAGAGCATTATAAAACCCGTTGACTATACGCCCTCAGAGTCCCTTGGTAGTTGTTCAAAAAACTTCGCATATGTGTAGATTTTACAATGCTAAATAAATTCATTAAAAGGCCAGTTCAGCCATTTAAGGCTCCATGGGAAGCAGTTTCAAATATTAATAGGAACAGCAAATATTTTTCCACATTATACGCCAAAAGTGGATACTGGCAATTGGGACTTGATAAAAAAAGTCAAATATTGACAACTTTCTTGACACCATGGGGACGCTTTCAGTTTTAACGGTCTCCTATGGGATTGGTCAGTTCGGGAGATGAGTTTTGCCGCCAATTAGATGTTGATTCATTGAAAAAGTTGTTGATATCTTTTTATATGAAGAAACATTTGAAAAACATGTTGAGAGAGTTATTCAGTTATTAGACCGTTGTCGTAGCAATAATATAACACTCAACCCTGTCAAATTTGTATTTTCGAAACCAAGTATCTTATGTAGGGTGTACAATCGTTGAAAATGGTATCAAAGCAGATCCAGTAAAAATTCAAGCAAAAATTTCCTGAACCGATAAACATAACGCAATTAAGATCACTTATGGATCTAGTTAATCAACTAGGTCATTTTTCATCCGAAATAAGTTCATGTGCAATTCCTTTAAGAGATTTGTTAAAAGTAAAACATGAATTCCGATGGTCAACCATCCATGATACAGCTTTCAAAAATATATGAAAAATTCTTTCGGAACCATCTATATTAGCTCATTATGACCCATTATTACCAACAGAAATACAAACGGATGCCTCAAGACTACATGGTTTGGGCTATGTTTGGAAGTTGGTACACTGTGGGTCAATATTTTTTAGTGATGCTGAATCAAGATACGGTAGAATTAGAATTATTGACTGTTAGTTGGTCAGTAAATAAATGTAAGTTATATTTACTCGGCCTAGATACTTTTGTTATAAAAACGGACCATAAGCCGGTGATTCCAATTTTAAA